CCCAGGTCTGCCTCTCCCTCACATGTGACCTTGGCCCAGGTCTGCCTCTCCCTCACATGTGACCTTGGCCCAGGTCTGCCTCTCCCTCACATGTGACCTTGACAGGGCCCCTTTCACTCCATGCCTTGGTTTCCCCACCTGTAATAGAGCACCAACCATGTCCTGCGCAGGGCCTGGCACTAAACAGCTTCTCTGTCTCGGGGGCTGTCCACCTTCTGTTTCTAAGCAGGACTTATTTGGAGGTGGGGGCGCCAGGCCTGCTTGCGGGGAGCGGTCCGTGTAATTGGCCCCACGGATCAGGAGGTATCTGCTGGCCATCCAAGTGTGGCCAGCATTTTATTTCTCATATTGTTTGAGGACAGTGACTCAGCTGAACGCACCCAGCAAATCAAGACCCAATCACCCGCTGTGAAGAATGTTTAAAGCCGGGCTCCAGTCAAGATCTCGTTAGGAGCTCCGGGAGGCTCTGGGATGCAAAATCAGTTCCACTTGGCCAGGGCCGAATGGCATTCTGGGGAAGATGCGTCTTATTCGAGGTGGAAAATTGGAGGCAGACTTCCCAGTGGGCCAGGGTCTGCCCTATGCCGTGGGACTGGCCCAGCGCACACCCTCACGTGGTGGACCTGCTCCCCTGGGGTTGGTCCTGGAAACCCCCAGACCAGTGTGGGGTGACAGCACTCTCATGCAGCCAGGGGAACAGCCCCTATGAAGGTGGCCTTCCAGAAGCTTCCTATTCTTCCCTGTTGTGTACATTTCAAATACCAACTCTTGTTGTCCTCATAAACAGGTGGCCCATGGGTGTGCACGATGTTCAAAAAAAAAAAATGGTTTTCTAATTAGCTGTCAGAACTTAAGTACTAGATAGCACACACACACCCAGATTTTTACCTTCTCAAAAAAAAAAAAAAAATTTCACAAGATGCAAAAATCCGAGATAGGAACATTCCCCCTACCCCCACTCTAGTCACTCATGTGGCTAAAGTCTGGTCAGTGGGGTGTTAGCAGAAATAGGAGAAACTTTCTTTAGCACAGACTGTTTAAGGGGAGCTAACTCAGCTAGGAGCTCTGTTCCTTTGTTCTCTTGTCTTTCCTTCCTGCTTCCTGGAATGCAGATGTGATGGCTGGTTCTCCAGCAGCCATTCTGGATGATGAGGTGACATTGGGAAGTTCACCCTCATCCATCGAGGATGCTCAAATAGACAAAACGATAATCCCTGTCCCTAAGGATGGTGGTGTTGCTGTACCAGTAGTGGACTGCTACCAACAGGCTTCTTTAACATGAGAGAAAAACCATCTTGTTTATAGCAAATTTGGCCCTAATGGAAACGTGAGGATCAGAACATGCCCCCCCAAGCGGTCACTTGCAGGAGACAGGATAATATTTTGAGGTGGTAATTGTGTCTTTTCCTTCCTGATCTTCACCTTCTTCTTTCTCCCATGCCAGTGGGAGTTTGGTCTTGTCCTTCCTTGCCCAGGGAAGCCCACAGCTGGTGGATGACCTCCTGACTTTGTCCCAAATCCCTTGGGTTACAGAAGGCAGCAGGGGCTGGTGGAAAGAAACAGGTGGGGATTCCCTTGGGAATGAGGTCTATGTGTCCCTTGGATGTTGAGAACCCAAGCATGGATAAGGGCAGGCTCTGGATAACACAGCACTCTTGGGAGCATAGGGAGGAAGACCCTGGGCACAGGGTCCTTGGCTGCTGCCAAGGGGGTCCCCTGGCCCAAGTGTGATGTGGACACAGCCGAACTCTGAAATCTGCAGGTCCCCGTAGCCAGGAGCACCAGAGGCCTCAGTGATAACAGGTGTGAACACAGGACCATTGGGGTATTGGCCTGTTGGTGTTGCTACAACAGAGTACCACAGACTGGGTGGCTAAAAAAAGATAATTTTTTCTCCTGGCTCCAGAGGCTGGAAGTCTGGGATCAAGATGTGGGCAGAGTCGGCTTCACTGGAGGCCAGTTTCTCTCTGGCACACTTGTTCAATCCTCAGCTGGTCTTTCTTCTGTGCATGCACATTCCTGCTGCCTCTCTGGGGGCCTACATTTCCTCTTCTTCCAAGGCCACCCTGATGGCCTTAATTTAATCAGTTCTCAAAGGCCTTGTCTCCAAATACCGTCGCATTCTGAGGTGCTGAGTTTTAGGGCTTCTCCTAATTGGGGGGAGGACACAATTCAGCCCGGGATAAAGGGTACTAGAGCTTTCCTCTCCTGACAGCCTGGCACAGCACCAGACCCTGGGAACTTGACCAGAACCATGGACCAGGCAGAAAGCCCCAAAGAATGACAGGGGTGAAATCTTCCACCCACTCAGCAGGATAGGGTGAAGTAGGACATTAAGTGACATTCTAGAAAGCCACTTGTATGTGTGTGGACTGGGATTCATGGTGCCTGTGTAGGGGGTGGGGAGGTTCCTCTGGAGAATTGCCCACACGTCCTGCTTCTCTTCCTCCTGAACACATCTACAGGATTATTGTCCTCGTCCATCCCCCTCAGGGAGAAGTGTAATGCCACGGTGTGACTCACTACATGGTTAGTGAAATGCCAGGAGAAGTGGCACGTGTCCCTTCTGGGTGGAAGCACTCGATGGCTAGCATGTGACTCGGTCCTGCCAAGTCATGGCAGCACCTGTCAAGCCAGGGATACAGGTAGGAGCTCTGCCTCCAGACCTTGCAGGGGCCACACTCTTTCGGATCTTGGGGGGACTGCTGTCTCTCAGAGAGCTGGTCTGCTCTTCAGCCACGGGTCATTCACAGCAGGCAATCCTGCTAAAGCCCTGCAAAGGACCCCCTGAGACGGGCATTCTCTGTCAGTCCCATCTTACAGGTGAGGGCTCGGAGGCTCTGACGGGGCCAGCAGCTGTCTCATGGGAAGTGGAGCTGAGAGGTAGACCTAGGAACATGGGCTGCCCCAGCGTGCCCCCAGCGGCAGCAGGTTTCAGGGGTGTGAAGGGGAGCTGTCCAGAGAGAAAGCTGGAGCCATCGGCAGGCCTGTGTGTCCTTGGCTGGTTGTCCCTGGGGGAGAATGACAGTCGTTTGTTATGCAGGGACCTTATACCCAGGTGCTTCCCTGAACCACAAAACATCAGGGCGTGGTCACTAAGAAAGGGAAATTAGGTATTAGGTGGCAACTGGTCACCTGATACCCTGAGACACTATGAGGAACTTGAAGGTCAGAGAGAAGACATGACTTGCCCCCCCCACCACCCCCCCCCCCCCCCACCCCCCGCGCCCCTGTCCACACCCTGTGAGTGGCAGCAGTAGGGATGCAGAACTGGCACTTGGGCCACATACGATGAACCCCATCACCATACCAAGGTCTCAGAAACCCCTGCATTCTGGTCGGTCTTCGGCATGATGTTTGTTACCATCCAGATACGACACATAGAATGAGGTCCTGGCAGAACAGAAGTAAGCAGGTCTTTTCAGGAAAATCAAAAATTGGAATGGCAGACAGTGTCGGTGAGGCCTTACTGGTAGAAGTTAACACTGACTGGTCCAGCCTCTTTGAAGAGCCTGTTGGCTCAGATTAGTTTCAACTGTAAGAGAAAAATCCAAAGGGGTTGAAATTGAGTAGACATTATTTCTCACTCATCCTCAAAAAGTCATCCTAAGGTGCCAAGTCCAAGGCGACTGCAGATGCACCAGTGTCAGGACACGGGCTCCTTCTATCTTGCTGCACTTCCATGAAAGGCTTTCATTACCAAGATGCTCTGTGACTCAAGATGGCTGCTACGATGCCAGCCTAGAAGAAAGGCACAGAGCCTGTCCTCGCCATAAGGAAGTTGCATGCATGCTTGTATCCCATTGGCCAGAACTTAGTCTCATGGCCACACCCATCCACAGGCACGGCTGGAAAATGTAGTCTTGTTCCAGGAAGCTGTGTACCCAGCTTTTAAAAAAAATCAGGGATTCGATTACAATGGAAGAAAAGGGGGGCACACTGGAGGACAGCTATTAGTCTCTGCCAGAAGACTGTAAGACTAATTAAAACTAATTAAGACTGTGTGCTCCAGTAATTCCACGTGCATGAGTTACCGAAAGCGTATTTGTAAGGATGCTTGTCAATGAGTTGTCTACTGTTGCAAACAAAAACCACCCTGCCACCTGACACGGAAGGATCCCAAGATCAAGGGTCAAGTGAAGAACAAACAGAACATCTACATTCCCAGAACAGGGTAAAGCGCATACACAAGTGTGAACACACACAGGCACCTCCGGCCAGCAGTGAAGCCCCTGGCCTTGGCAGTGCTTCTGGGGCAGGGGACAGGGAAAGTGAGGCCAGGGCGGGGAGGAGATCCATGCTCCACTGTGCACCTCCCTGCATGGGGTGAACTTTTCTTGTGCATGTTACCTATTAAAAAACAAATTTTAAGATGGGCAGTAGGCTTCAAGCCTCTTTTTGTCTATGGACGCCTCCCCGTTGACAGGGCTGTTTGCTTAGGCATCGCACTGAGCAAACCCAGGCTGTCACTCTGGCTTCTCAAATAGCACTGGCCTGTCCAGGCCTCTCTATCCAGCCCCCAATACGTGCCCTGCTTGGAATGCCCAGCAGGCCTCCATCTCCCACCCACCAGGCTTCTAAGAAAGCTCTGAGGAGGAACCTCCTGGCCCACTCCTGGCCAGCTCTCTGGGTCCCGGATCCCAGGGAGCATGGCACGTTGGCCCCACAATCACAAACTGTGTTGGTAATTCTTACAGCAGGCCTTGCAACACAGGCCTCTTTATCCCCATTTCACAGATGGTGAGCTGAAGCTAGGGGAGGGGAAGCAGCCGGTCCAGGAAAGCAGAGCAGAAGGCGCAGAGAAAGGACAGGACCTGCAGGGCTCACTCCAAACCCCACACTCCCCAACGGGGTTGGGAAATGGCAGCTCACAGAACCATGTTTCCCTTTCCACAATCCTCTTGTCTGCTCGGATGGGGACCCAAGATATGGGGCACTGGGATCCGACTGTCCTCCACTCTCCAGCAGCCAGCCCAGGGCCTGAGCACTGGCCAGTGTTCCTCCATCGAACAAATGAAGCAACCCAGAGCCTCCCAGGGCTTGGGACACAGAAGGACCTGCCAGGACCTCTGATCATCGCAGGGTCTCACCCCAGCCCTCGGGCTCCTAGGAGGAACATCTACAGCCGCACTTTCTGTTCCTTTTGTTTTTTTATTAAAAAATAGATCCAGAAAATATACACACTTCCGCCCACCTGCCAGAGTGGGCTTTGAGGAGGCCAAAGCGCAATGGGGAAGAGGCAGAGGGATGAGAAGAGCCAGACCGGTCCTGGGTGCCCAGGCTTTGGAGAAAGGAGGTGCCCCCAGCTGGCCTAGCCAGGCCTGCCCCTGAGAGATCAGAGTCTGAGCCAGCGGAACAGGGAGAGAGCAGGTGGAAGGGGGAGGCAGCCCCCAGCTACAGCAGAGGTGGCCAAAAGCAACTGGGGGCACAGAGGGCAAGACAGGGCCTACCTGGGGCTGCTGCCCATAGAAGGTCCCATGACCTCGTCCTCCTCCCCCCCAGGGACTTGGCACTCCCTAGCCTTCTCTCCAGCCTGCCCTCCATGGGCCCCACTGGGCCTTCCGGGCCACGGTGGCCACACTCAGGCGTTGATAGCCTTCCAGCGCTCACTGTCTGTGCTGTTGATGCTACCCGTGTGGCAGGGCATGGAAGCGATGTCATCCAGGTAGGCCACCCCACCGGCTGAGTCAAACTGCGTGCTGGCGGCTCCTGCCACCTCCGGGCCCTCCCGCCGGGCCACAGCGTAGGGCTGGGGCAGGTGCACATCTGGTTCTTCCGTCTCGTCCACTTGGCATTTGTAGGAGAAGAGGATCTTGGGCTCCGAGCTGGTGGAGGAGAGAGGGGTGGTGGAGCCCCACTGTCTGGTCAGGAGAGGCCTCCTTCTCCAAACAGTAAGCCCTGCTGCCCAATGGCCACCCCAGGAGATCCCCAAAGCTTGGACTCTGGAGTCCAAGGGGCCACGGGCGCCCCCGCGTGGGCCTGTTTTAAAACTCAGCCCACGTGTGAGCTTGAACAAGGACATGTTTCTCACTTGTCTGTTTCTCACTGTAAAATGGGTACAACTCTGACCTCAAGAGGCTCTTAGCAGAGGGTAAACAGAGGTAAATTCTGGCCCAGCAAACACCAGTGGCAAACTCCACCATTGCAGCTTTTATGACCACTTACTTGGTGTTCTCCTGGGCCATGTTGCTGAGCAGGGAGAGGGCAGGTGGAAGGGGGTCCCTCAATGCTCAGGGTAACTCTGACAGGGAACAGCTGTACCCAATTTACAAAAAGGAGCCCGAGGCCAGGGAGATAAATGCATGTGCAAAGTCCCACACAGATCAGGGCTGGGCTGATGAGAGCCAATCCAACCCCTCTCACCCCTCCTCTGATGCCTTGCCCACCCCCCTCTGGTCCCCTGCCATCTCTTCAGATCCAGCTTTTCCACCACATCAGAGGCCCAGGATCCAACCATCAATCCCTCATGTCCTTAGCATCCTGTCTCCCTGACACGCCTCCAAACACAAACAGCCACCAACGTGCACCTCCCCCATTATCCACTCCACACCGGCCTCCCGCAACCCTGCTCCCCTCCCCAGCCACTCTCAGTGAGCATCCAGGAGCGTGGTGATTTGTGTCTTCTTTGTTCCCTGTCAGAACGTGGCAGCTGCAGCAGTGCCTGACACCTAACAGGTGCTCAGTGAATGCTTGCCGAAAAGAATGAGCGGAGTCTTCTACAATGAAAAGCAAGCAAGTGTAGAACACTGCGCATAGACACTCTCTTGTGGGGAAAGTGTATATGCCCGTGTGTGTTGCATATAGAATGTGTATATGCATGTATGTGCATGCATGTGTGCATATGCATATATGTGTGTATGCACGCGTGGGTACAGACATATACACACCATCTGTCTCATCCTTCCCAGTGCCTGAACTGGGTGGGAGCAGGGGGACCCTGAAGCGGAGGATGCGCATGCGCATGGAGCTGGAGGCGCAGTTCCGCAGGCAGCCACGCGGGGGCGCCCGTGGCCCTCAAACCACCAGCCGCTGGGTGGTGAGCAGGGCACCAGCTACCACGCCCCCCACCTCCGCGCCCCGCCCCGGTCCCACGCCCCCTGCCGGCGCCACGCCCCCCCCCCCCCATCCCGGTGGGAAAACTCACCCAAAGAAGCCCCGCAGGAAGGCCACGTAAATGAGGGGCGCAAAGAAGCTGAAGTAGAGAAATGTGGTGGCATCTACACAGCTGGGGGCAGGGCAGGAGGAGCAGATCAGGGAGGGGCCTCCTCTGAATGGGACCTGGGCTTAGCCTCCCCCTGCCCTCCGCTCCCAGTCCCGCCTCGCCCCACCTACCAGAGACCCTCGATGATGTCCGCGCAGAGCAGGGCACTTCCCAGCCCCTGTAGCAGGTTGAGCAACGCCAGAATGCCCGCGTACACATAGAAGCTCCTTCGCGCTGGGGGGTTGGGGACCGTGAGGCCCCGCCCTTGCCTCCACCCTTCATCCCCAGGGAGTCACCTGAGGCCCTTCTGGGACGCCAAGAGGACCCCTCCCTCTCACCAAGGGCTCTCCAACAGAAGACCCTCCCCTGCACCCAGCACCGACCCAGAGCCACCCACTGGCTGCTTACAAGGCAGGGAGATGCGCTCCTTCAGTGGGGTCTTGGGGAGGACGACCACCAGAGAGTAGACCTGCAGAGACAGCCAGGCTGAGAAGGATGCTGGGGACACCGAGCCCAGAGCTAAGCCCGGGACCAAGACGTCCAGACCCCTGCCTCAGGCTCTGAGACCCATGTAGCCACCCCCAGGGTGCCAGACCCAGAAAGGGGAGAGGGCCCTCTCCACCTCACCAGGAAGAAGAAGCAGGAGCTGACCAGCCAGAACTGGCGGCCCCCATGCCCGTAGATGTTGAAGTCCTCAGCCGACAGGTGGGCGTCAGGGTACAGGATCTCCAGTGTCCCCTGCAGGGGCAGGCAGGGGATGGCTTCAGTCTCCCACCACCTGGAAATCCTGGAGTCTCCCTAATACAATGCACTCAGAGCTCTCCACCACAGCAAGCCCAGCTCCCTGGCTGGGCCTGCTCCAGACTGCTCGTGGCCCCGCTCTTCTCCCTGCCCACTCGGCTCCAACCCCCAGAGGAGGCCCTTGCCGTGGAGCAGGGAACTGAGCTCGGCAGGAGGTAGCCGCTGCCAACTCTAAGGAAGGAGTCTCTAGATGTACAACTCTCAGTGTGGTCTGCAAACCTGTATGTTAGGGAACCTGGGCTGCTGTGACAACAGCAGGTTCCAGGCATCCTCCCTGCCCCCACCCCGGCCTATGGACTGGACTGGTTGGTGGCAGGGAGAACCTGCCTTGTTAACAAGCACCCTAGGTAATTCAAACCTGGACCCAGAGCCAGGGAACAGAGGATGCTCGGCCCTCAGTGACCCCTGACCTCCTCTAGGGAGCCCCCCTAGCTGCCCCTGCCCCCCACCTCCCCCTTTACCTGGGTGACCGAGTAGGCCAGGGACAGCACCGTGGTGATGGCCAGCACCCGCTTGATGCTTGACTTGCTCTCCAGGTGACCTGGAAGAAACGTACTGGTCAGGGAGAGGGAGCCAGCCGTGGGAGACCGTGGTGGGGTCAGTGCCCACTAGGGAGGGACAGGGAGAGCGCTGGCCCCAGCAGCACACGCACCAAAGGCAAGGCCCAGGATGACCACGCTCAGCTCGATGGCCAACAGGAAGAAGCGGGTAATCTCCCACAGGATCTGGACACAGAGCGGGCAGAGTGTCAGCCTGGGGGCCCAGTCACCCCTCTCCCCAGCGCCCCGCATCCCCCCGCCCTTGTCAGCAGGCCCAGCCACACCTTATCAGCAACAGTTGCAGCATCCGAGGTGCTGACCGTCATGGACACCACAGCTCGGGCGATGCCCACCAGCGCCACCACAAACACCTGGTGGGCAAGAGTGGGGATGCTATGATGGGGTCAGGGAATGAGACCACTGTGAGGCACAGGGCATCACAGGAGCCTCAGATTCTCTGAGAACAGAAGGATTCCAAACTCAGAGTCAGGAGTGGGATGCAGGGAGGTGGGGTGACCCTCCACAGCTGGTAACCTCTGCCTGGCCTTTCCCTCTCCGGCCTCAGTTTCCTGGCTATACTGGCACCCTTAGAATGGGTGACACGGTAGAGCCCCACAGCCAGGCTGGAATGCCAGCCCTGCTGCTTCCTGCCTCTGTGACCTCAGGCAAGGACCGGCACCTTCGTGCCTCAGTTTCCTCATCTATGAAATGGGGTGAAACTAGGTCCTACTGTATTTGATGGCTGTGAGGAGCAAATGGGTAAATCGATGTAGCGGAAGCGAGCCTGGCAGCTGGTAAGGGCTGGGTACACATTTTCCTTCAGTGCCGTCATATTAGCACTTTTAATACCCAGCCATGGAGGAGAGTAGGCTGCAGGGAAGAGACCTGAGACCCTGGGGAAGACTGCTGCCCCTTCTGTCTCGCAGAAGTGCCTGCGCTCAAAATCCTGGACACCAGGAGTTTGTCAACCTGGTATCCACTCCCTCCCTCTGGCAACAGCCTCCTTCCTCTCCCTGCTGCTCATGTGGCTCAGGGGCCGGGGGGGGGGGGGGTGGGGAAGAGGGGGGACTTGACCCAAATTCAGGGACTGGCCTATAACCCAGGGCTGGCCATTTGGCACATGCTATTCCCTGATTTGGGGATGGGGTGGGACCCAAGGGAGTCTAGTGACAGGCACAGCTAGGACACCAGGTGCAGCCACTGGAAAGGAAGCTGGTGGGGCAGGGGGGATGGGGCGGGGGTGCAGGTTGTAAGTCCGGAGCTGCTGGACTGCCTGGCTCCATGAGCGTGGGACTATTGACAAGGCCACTGGAGAGACCCCAGCTGAGAGGGAGACTGAGACTGTGTCCCCACTGTCTTGTGGAGCCCCTGAATCCAGCCAGTCTGAAGCCCCGGGACTTGTCAGTTTCTCCATCAATACATTCCCTCCAGCTTCCAGGAGTTTCACTTTGGTTTTCTGATACATGTAAACACAAGAGTCCAGATACATACACAGTCTGTCCTTTGTGCCACGAACCCCGTGTGGAACTCTCGGGGAGGCTGACACCACTCAAGAGGACAGGCTGTAGAAGCAGCCAAATGCTATGTGCCTACTGTATGCCCGGCTGCCAGCGGGCTAGGGCTAAGGGTGTGGTCTTCTTTGGTGATCACAGGCGTGCCGCAGACTAAAGCAGGCCCAGCATACATGATGTGGGAAGGAGGGCACCGAGGAACAGAGAGGCCAAGCCACCAGTCCAAGGTCATATGGCATAGCTGGGGCCTGGAGGCAATCTGCCTGAGCCAATGCTCACCACTGTCTCCTGAGCTCTCTAGAAAGAAGTCCCCAGGAATACGAGGGCAGGGGCAGCGCTGAGTCCCCCAGCACTGCCTCATGGAGGCGGCAGTGGGCATTCTTCTGTCAGCGAGCATCTCTTCCCCTGCCCTCTACAAATGGCTCCCCAGTTTTCCTCCAAGGGCCACCATCCTCTGCAGTGCACACGGCCTGGCTGAGTTGACCCCACCGTCCCAGCCCCAGAGTGCCCCTTCCCTGCTAGTCACAGAGACTGGCTCAGGGACCAACAGGGGATCCAAGGTAGGCCGGTCAGAGGGAGTCCCAGGTCCACACTAGCACCACCAGGAAAGCAGTCCTCTTCCACTGGCATGGGCAGGGAGACAGGATGTCAGCTTACAGCTGCTCTTGGCTAATTTGGACACCGGCAAGGGAGGGTTCATCTGAGGTGAACCCTGAGGATGTCCGTTTACCCATGGATCCAGCCACGTCTGAAGCTGGACTTCATCACAGAAACAGTAATTCCCCTTTTCACCTACGCCCGTTGGAGTTAGGTTTTTCTGTCACCTGTTGGGAGTGAACTCACCAGGATATAGAAGGTGATAAAAATGGGGCTGGAGGTGACACGGATCTTGGCCCGAGCAAATGGAAGCTTCCAGAGCAGGAAGATGAAGAAGAGCACATTGGGGATAAGCAGCAAGAGGTCCCAGTACCGGACCCTAGCAGATGGGGACAGAAGCCAGCCGCCTGGTAAGTTTCTGTCTGCAATGCCCCGTCCCCACCCATCACACACGCCACACCCATGCATGCTGCACACAGGGGAAACCCACTCAGGGCCACGGCCTGCCTCACCTGGAGGTTCCAATATCCTCGTAGAGCAGCAGCAGACAGCGATGTGGCATGCTGATGTTGGGTGCCACGGGTGGGGGCAGGGCTGTGCTCCCGTTGGCCCAAATCACCTCTTCCAGGATGTCCATTCTGCCAGCAGCCGGGCCTGGGGGAGTGAGAGCCCCCACGTGAGTAGCGCAGCGGCTGTGTGGCCTTGCGTCTCTGGTGTCAGGTTCTCAGTAGATCCCAAGAGTGGTTACCTACCATGGGCTGGTGGACCACTCTCCCCCCAGCCAGGCAGAAGTTGAGGTGTGGCTCCCCCACATGCCGCAACACAAGACCCGGACAGGGGCCCAGTCGGCTACCTTGGCCTCAGTCTCATGACACAGTAAAGGCCACTCCCAGTGACTGAGCCTTCCTCTGTGCCAGGCACAAAAAAGCCGGCTACTCGGCATGACCCCAGCTCCTCCCCCTGATCTGGGGGTCTGGAGATAGACAGGGAGCAGAGGGGCAAGGTCCCTGTGTCCTTGGAATGGGACTAAGGACAGCGTCCACCCTGGGAGGCTGTGGTGGGCACTGAAGTGAGGTCTAGCGCCCCCTACAGCCCGCATGCACGCAGTCCTCAGAGTCCTCTGCGCACAGCCCACTGGAGGAAGGAGGGGGTACTGACAGTTTGCAATCACGCAGCCACTGAGCGCCAGAGTGGGGCACCGTGTGCACCTCAGGTGGACCACACCCCTTGCCATCTTCTGCTGCCTCCCTGGAAAGGGAGACACAAATATCAGGGGGACGTGCACTGTGCCAGGAAGACGCACAGGAGGTCTCCAAGTGGAAAGAGGGAGGAAAGGAGAGACAGGGCAGAGGGGGCCCCACCCCGGCAGAGGGAGCTGTGTCTGCAAAGGCAATGATGGGGGGGCTGCCAGGAGACATGGGAGTCGGCAGGGGAACCCACATCCAAGAGCCTCTGAATGAGAGGTGAAGAGTCCAGCCTTAAAGACAGGAGAGTTGGTGGCGTGGGGCCTTGGGAGCCACCCTGGACCAGACAGGCTCCCAGGTCGCTGGACTCTCAGGGACCGGACCAAAGCTGGGTCCGCACTGACAGCAGCAGGGACTTCCTTAGGGAACTCAGGGGGGTGCAGGGCAGGCGAGCCTGGCGTGGCCTGGGCATCAGGACATAACAGACACCAGTGTTAAAATGATGACCAGAACAGATGAAGCCTTATGACCTGGAGTCTCCACTTCTGGGTACATTTGTAACTGCCCAGGGCTATCAACGGCCCAGACGCCCGCCATCAGCAGTACGCACACGTACGTGGTGCCACTCATACAAGCAGCAGAACAGAAGGAGAAAGAACAGGCCACTCCTATGTCGGCGACATGACAGGGCCTCACGGATATGGGGCCAAGTGGGGCTAGCTACGAGTGCATGTGTGCGGCCTGAGCCACGCACAGACCCAGGTGAGGGTCACCTTTGTGGAGGATGGAGGGCATAGTGGGGGGGGGCACATTCCAGCTTCTGGTGCTTGATGGCGGGGGTGGGGGGGGGGTAACACAGGTGTGCTCACTGTGGCAAAATTCATTGAGTCTATAATCTGTGACTTTTCTAATACTGATTTACACGTAAGTTTTAAAAAATTAGAAAAATGTGTTCTGTTCACACTCTAAGAGCACAGGTCTCCCATTCAGCAAGGAGCAGGCTGGGTCGCTGGGAGCCCTATTGCAAGGATCTTCAAATGCCATGGGCACCCATGTCTGTGCTGTCACTAAGGCTACGCCTGAGCACCAGCAGGCCTGGGGTGAGGGCTGCAGGGGACGCAGGGTCTCCTAGCTACTGTTCCAAGCCACGGAACACAAGCACTGCCTCTGGCTGAAAGGGACAGGAGACCAAAGCAGATGGGCTGAGACCTGGGGCTCAGACTCTTCCGTCCTTCTCCTCAACAGGCCAGTCTCTGGCTCTGGGGTCACATCCCCACCTGCAACTTGAGGCCAAACCAACAGGGAAAAAGAACATATGCCCAACACATAGTAGGTCCGAAGAAAGGATGCATTCTTCATGCATTCTTCCACCAGCCAAGCAGCCAGCATGAAAACCATGTTAACAGAGGAGTGGGACCGAACGATGAATGGGTGACACAGTAGAGACTACCAGGGTCCTCAATATCCACCCTACCCTTTAGTACTGGGGCCCATGGATTTTACCTTACACATGGCTTCCCAGGATGATGACTATTTTCCGAGCTTCTATTGCCACTGTATGGCCACATGACCAAGTTTTATCCAATTAGAAATGAGCAGTTAATTTAATGAGTTGGTCCATTTCAGGCCAAGCAAGTCTCCTTTCCTATTGCCTGGAATAGGGATGTGGTGGCAGGAGCAATAGCAGCCACCTTAGACAGCAAAACTGAAACCATGTATTGGGAATAAGAGAGAAATGAGGAAAAGTGTCTGGGTCCCAGGCCAACATGCCTCCAGGCATATCCTGGACAGCTTGAACACAGACCATCATGCGATACGCAGGAATAATCTATTGTCTTGTTTCCTGACCTTTGTTTCCACAGCTAAGCCAGAATCCCAATGAATATGAAGAGGTACTGCTTTGGACTGGGTTGTCAGACAAGCTGACATTTGCACTAGATCTAAATAATTGAGAAGGAACCAGACTTGGGAAAATATGGACAAAGAACACACCTGGGAGAAAAGAGTGAAAGCAAATGCCATGAGGCACAAACAGGCTTGGCCTGTTCAAAGGGCAAGAAGCAGGCCAGGGTGGGTGGTGGGGAGATCAGAAAGGCCAGCAGGGCTGGGTCACACAGGACCATATGGCCACCTACAATGTGACTGCATTCTGAATGCAATGAGAAGGGTGTTACAAAGGCAGGTGGTCGGGTCCCATGTCCACGCGGAGAGGACCCCTCAGACTGCCAAGGAACATGGAATGGAACAGGGGGAGATTGGAGGCAGGGGGACCAAGGAGCCACTGTACCAGTGCAGGCAGGCAGGATGGTGGCTTGACTAGTGGCTGTGGTGGGGGTGGAGTGGAGGAATCTGGGATACCCCTGGGAGGGTCAGCCAACATGAGCAGCCCACAGACACCCCAAGGGAATGCGGGAAGAGAGCAAGAATTGGTGACTTCTGGCCTGGCTATTGGGTATTTTATACCAGCTAGCCCAATGCTGCTAACGTGTCCCCACCAAACACAGCCCCCTTCTCTATCTATCTCTAGCTATCAAGGTGCAATTTTATTCCAGGACCCCTCCATGATGCCCTACTGCATAGGCAGGGGCCCCGCCCCCTGGGCCAGAAGCTGAATCTTAACAACAGTAAGCCAGTGGCCTTGGGAAGGGGCAGTGTGGAACAGAACTGGACACCTCAGTAGCACACAGGGGTTCTCCAGGTTGACATGGGGATGGTGGGGGTGGGGTGCTACGATTTTTCGTGGACAGGGTCCAAGGCTGCCACATGTCCTGCAACACGTGGGACAGCCCACCAAATGAATGATCGTCTTCCCCTTTGCCAACAGTGCCCCGAAGGGAGACTCTGGTCCACGTGTGGAGGGGCGTTCTCCTTGCTGGTGCCAAGTTTAGGCAACGGCAGGTGATGAAATATGAGGGAAGTCTCCCAAGAAACATTCTCCTCGCTGACCATCAGACACCCTCCAGGAGGAAAGCCGTTTCTTGGCACCTGCATGGGGCCCTTGAGGGTCTGCTGTGTGAACGTGGCCATGCTGAGCATGGGGTGTGCCACTCCCCCCAAGACTTCTGTGACCTGGGAGGATGACTGATAAGTGACCTGAGTTGAAGGAGACAGATTCCACCTCCCCCTGCGCCCCTCACCATTCTCTGTGGAGCAAACTTCAGGTCCCAGCAACCCAACACCAGCTCTGGCCTAGGACGGGGTGTCAAGCAGCCCTAGGAGGGGCAGGCCCCAGAGGGCAGGCCAAGCACCCAGTAACTGCTGAGAAGCCGAGAGGTCTCTTGTGGGGAAAAACAAAACAAAACAAAACAAAAGCCAGTGAGCATGACCAGGGCCAAGCAGCAGGAAGAATCAGATAGAGTCTGATGGGGGAAGCATCACTTGGTTTTTGTCTGTCCAGCCCCCCATTTTCCTGACAGGGGAACCTCAGCTCCCCGGGTCTCTGTCCATGAAATTGAGGGACAGCTGACTCAAGCCCTTCACAACGCCCAAGGAGTGTGCTCATGATCTAAGCCTGGCTTATCAGGACACTCCACTGTCCTGGCCAATGAGAATCAGCACAGGACTTGCTGTAATTGCTAGGAACAGATACTTTCCACTCCAAGTGTCGTGGTACCAGACAGCTGGACCACTTTGACCCCACATGTGGCTACCCACCTGAGAATAAAGCCAACACAGAGGGATGCAGAGCTGAGAGGAAGATGGAAATCCATCCCAGGATAGAGCCTCATATGAGCTCCTGGATCTAGCCAGACCTGAAGCTAGTCCTACTCCTGCACTCTTTTTAGGCATAAAATCCCACAAATTCCCTTCTCTGCTTACATCCAGTTGAGTCTGATGTCTCTAATTCACTAAGGAAAACCTTCTGGCTGACATGGGTTATGGAGTCGGACAGATTTGGGTTGCACTTCTGGCTCAGCCATTATGTGGCTGTGTGACCTTGAGTGAGTCATTTCTCCTCTCCCCATGTCACAGGGACCAATAACACCTTCCCAACAAAGTTGTCAGGAGGATCAAACAAGAACAGAGAAGTAAATGCCTAAGAAAGGTCACACCTCAGTAACTGCTGCTTTTTTTTCCAAGAGGAAGCCCTGGGGGCTGTAAAGGGAAGAAGGATTCAGTTGGAGGACAAGGGCCCCTTTGGAAGGAGTCTGCTCCACCAGTGCCCCCTGCTGACTCAGTGGCTGCAGCAGACACACTCCCTGAGACCTCCCAGCCTGTGAGGGAAGTACTTCTGTTATCTTCTCGGACAAAGCTCTGGGCCTCCCAGCCACCTGCCAGGTTGTCTATTTCCAGTGCCCAGGCCCCCAAGTGGTGACTTGCCAAGTGCCCGTCTCTGGGAGCCAGTTTCTCCACCTATAGATGGAAGGCTCTGGGCTCCATCTAGAGCTACGCTTCTCACACCTGAATGTCATGAACGTGCAGACTCTGATTCAGCAGGCCAAGGGCGGGGATGATGGCCCACATTGCTAATATGATCCCAGCTGGTGCCTTTTCTCTGCTGGTCAAAGAAGCACTATTGGCTTATGAGGCTGCTGGCCTTACCAGAATTGCCACTATGTGTCAAAGCTTGTAAAATAACTGAAGCAACAATAAAAAATAAAACAACAATGCACACTACCCTCAGACACAGGCCTAGGTGCTTTACACATTTAGTGACGCTCTCAACTATCACACCACCTCTGTGTGAAATGGAACTACTCTTGTGCCCATTGTACAGAGAGGGGAAAGGAGAGGCACAAGAGGGTTAAGTCACTGGCCCCATATTCTCCTCCCCGCACCTTGGGCAAGCTCCGGGGCTTGGGAGCAGAAACCTGGGTGGTGACAGAGAAGTAAGGGGTCTGCAGGCTCAGGAAATGGGGGACAGAGGATGGGACAGGGGACAGGAGATGGTGGGAAGGCTGGCTGAGGGCAAGAAGAAGAAGTAGAGCCCAGATTCGAGGGATGGAATTAGCAGAGGGAGTTTCCTGGAGGCTGAGTGGCTTAAGGCAAATGCAGGTCTTTCAGGACCAGGGAAACCGGAACAGACTGTTTCTTCCACCTGGAAGGTACTTTCCTGACCTTGTTAACATTCCAGAAGCCATCTTCCCACTCTCCACTTGGGCCTCCAGCTCCTTCCCACCCTCCCTGTGGCCAGCCTATGGGGCAGGCCTGGCTCCAGTCACACAGTGACTGGCAATGAGCCCCTGGAGAGGATCTTCCCTTCTCTAGGCTTCAGCTTTCCCATCTCTCATCTGTGCAATGGGGTTAACCAGGACTGGATGGAAAACCCCGGGGAAGACAGAAAGCCCCAAGCAAAAAGAGAGAGGCTATACTTCGTAGTTGCTGCAATGCCTCCTCAGTGCTTCTGACCCTTAGCAGACAGGTGAGATTATCTAAACTCTGGAAACAAAACAGATTAAGAAGGTTCCATAGGACAGACGCCAGCCCCTCATCCTTCAGGCTTGCAGGTGTGGGGAGGGGAACGCTGTTCCAGACAGGCCACTCTTGGTAAACTGCCAGCAGCCCAAGCAGGAGCCCCCAGGATGAAGTG